CGCGAGGCGGGCCAGTGCTCTCCACTTCGAGAGACATTGGGAGAACGAGACATGCGGGGAGAGCCCAACGGGTTCGAGGGGTGGAGCTGGGAGCTGCAGCAGATGAGCGTCGGGTCCGCTGAGTCGAGTGAGAGACGGCCCGGGAAGCGGCCTTGGGTGAGCAGGGTGCGTCGCGCGGAGACGACGGGCGACGATCCCTGATGTCGGAGTGCGCGAGACGCGTGGACATACCAAGAGTCGATGCGCGACGCTTGTGAGTGCGTCCGCTGCGAGCAGCGCGGTGTTGCGCTATCCGCGCGTCTGGACGAGTTCGAGGGCGGTCACTGGCAAGGACACTCCCCGCTGTGCACGCCGCAGAAGACGACGAGCGGATACCCTCACGCCGGAGGAGCGAATGGGGCAGGGAGCGTCGAGTGCGCAACACTGGTGGTCGGACGAGAGCGCAGAGACACGGCGCGCTGCGCGCGCCGCCATGCGTTGGCGAGCGAGTAGACGCCGGGTGACAGGTCGTGGGCAATGCATCGCTCCACTTGGACACGGCGGGCGCAGTGCTCGGGGCGCGATGCACGGTGCCGCGGCAACGGAGGTCTGCAGCCGGAGCGAGCAGGCGACCGTCGGCGTGAACGCAGTGAGAACGAGCCATTTTTGCTTTCCGCAGTGCGAATGGCGACCTTCCCTGTTCCTCGTGCGTGCTCGAGGGAGTCTCCGTGAGAAGACTGGGCTATCATGTACTCAGAGACGCTAAGTACTTATCGCTCTGCTTACCCTTCACCCGGGAGCTTACTGTACAACGCCTACCGAGGCATGGCTTCCTGCAACACTACTTACAGCCGCCTACCCTCGCTATCCCACACCCGCTGCGGTCTGCGAGCCCACCCCACAGGCTGTGCATTGTGCAACGCCATCGACAGACGGGACAGTTGCCACCAACCGCGGACGCCCACTACTGCCATCGGCACTCTTCTCCAGCTTCCTTGACGACCCCAGACGACGCAAGGCAGCCATTGAGACAGTGCTCTACCGATTCCGAAGATGCGCCCCGCCCTCCCAGCAGCGCTGCTGCTCCCGACGCTGGCCGCCGGCGGGCTCGTAGACACGATCGAGCGCACGGTAGCAGGCGTCGTAGACTGCGCGACGTGCCACTCCGCGCTGCCGACGTTCAAGGCCCTCGCCGCCCTCGGCGACGCGCGGTTCGTGCAGACGATCGCAGCGGCGTGCACAGACCTGAAGGTACGCCCCCGCCCCGCCTCCGTTGCCCGACCCCGCGCAGACCCGAGCGCTCATACAGATCGAAGACGCGGACGTGTGCGAGGGCGCGATCCGCACGCAGGGCCCCATCCTCGCCCACGACCTCCGCCACTTCTCCCTCTTCGGCGACACCGCGACCAAGTTCTGCGATGCCGTCTTTGGCATGTGCGACCTCCCGCCGGTCACCCCGTGGCGCGTGCCGTTCCCGAAGGAGAAGCCGGACGTGGAAAGGGTGTGGAGGAGCAGGGGGCGCGAGCCGGTGAAGGTCATGCACTTCAGCGACGTGCATATCGACAGAGAGTATACGGCGAGTGCCCAGATCGCTGAGCGTCGCAGCGCCAGTCCTCATTTGCTTACAACCAGACCAATGCCGAAGCGAAGTGCACGAAGCCCATCTGCTGCAGGGATTTCGGCGAGCGTCCGAAGCACGTTCAATTGCCCGCACTACCGCTCGGTATGCGGACGTGCGACGCGCCAGGTAGGCTTGCAGACTCGATGCTCGACGCAACACAGAAGTTCGGCGCGCATGCGCGGTTCTCCATCTTCACGGGGGACGTGATCGACCACGCAGTGTGGGATGTGGACGAAGAGTACGTATCTGTGGGATGTGGCGGTTCTCGGGGCTCACTCGGCGATGTAGGAATGTACCGAAGAACATGCTGGAGTTCACGGACCAGTTTGCGCAGAAGCTGAGCGCGCCTCTCTTCCCTGCCCTAGGTGCGTCTCGGACGCCTTGCAGCGAGAACGATCGGCTGACGATCTCGCACTCGTAGGTAATCAGTGAGTCGTCCCCTGGTTTTGACATGTGGCGCGCCGCGCTGAATGGTCGCCTTCTCAGCGAGTCCGCGCCGACAAATAGCTTCCCTCGAGATACCACCGAGCACGAGATCACCGCAGACTTTGTGTTCGATGCACAGATGCAAGGCTGGAATGTATGTGATCGTTTTTCATATGAATCGCAGTAGAGCTCAACTTTTCACGGCTTGCAGCAGTGGATAGGTGAGAACGCGACAGCACAGATCCAGCACCACTCGGGTAGCTACGCCGTCTTGGCGCCTGGCATGGACCTCCGGTATGTTCATTCACATCCCATGTTGTACGCATGGGGTAAGTTGACGAAACACAGTGTCATCTCAGTGAACACACAGTACTGGTACAAGCAGAAGTAAGCCTCCGCCCGCGGGTCTGTAGGAGCGAGCTCATGAGATTCATCCAGCTTCTGGCTCTACGACAGCGACGAGCACCAGTACGCACATGTCCCTCCGTAGCCATGCTCGCACGCTAATAGCCCGTGCAGGCCAGACCCCAACGGGATCATCTCCTTCCTCGTGGAACAGCTGCAAGCCGCGGAGGACGCCGGCCAGCGCGCGTGGATCATCGCGCACATGCCGCCCGGGCGCGGCGACGTCGTGCGCGACCAGTCTGCGTACTTCGACCAGGTCGTGCAGCGCTACAAGGCCACGATCGCGGGCCAGTTCTACGGGCACACCCACGCGGACGAGTTCGCGATCGGGTATGCGGACTACAGCGCGCGGACGGCGGAGAACGCGGTGAGCGTGGCGATGATTGGGCCGGCGATGACGCCGATGAGTGAGTCTTCGGACGGGGAAGAGTGGCTGAGGGTGAGGATGCTGCAGGTGGGAACCCATCGGAAGCCGACGGTGGATAGACGCGCCCAAGGTGAGTGGATTTCCGGGCTGTGATTGGCTGGAGAAGTGAAAAAAGTTGCCTTGTTTCGAACTCCCATCTCTCTTTCTTTATGTACGAGCATACGTCCGCCTCCCCGCAGGGACACTCGGGTGGCAAACCGGAACCTGCTGTCAGCACACACGCGCATCTCACCTCCCGTCTCTCCGCCGCCTCGTCAGCGCCGCAGGCTCGACTGCAGGGCACCTGGACCGGAGTCGATCATCTGGGACGCGTACCAGTTGATAACGCGGCAGACGGGTTTGTCAGCATTGTGTCGTCTGGTCGAGTATTTGACGAGCTCACCTCATTGCATTCGGCATTCCTACGCCGTGACAATCGACGTCTGCGGGGAGACCGTGTGAGTGAGGTGGGAAGCAATGAGATAATCTCTGCTCACTTCCTCTCTTTGCCTCTCGACATCCATCCCGTCGCATCTCCGCAACAGCGCTGCTCGTCGGAAGAACATCGGTCGTGTCTTTGCCGGTCGAGGCATGCCCTGGCGAACGTCGACAGCCACGGGCGCGTCGGGGACCTGTTGTCCTGGCCGAGAAGTGAGTTTCACTGCTTCCGGAACGAGCCACAAGACTCACCCCAATGTCCCTTCCATCGTACGGCAATCCAGCCGTCGTCGACACTTGACCCTCACCCCATTGTTGTGCCTGACACCCCACGCCCTACTCGCCGGAACGCGTTCTATCGTGTATGTGTCGACCGTGTCACTCTTGCATCGCAGCGCCACCCGCCGGTCGCCGGGAGACGATACGTCCGGTCTAGGTCTCTCCCGGCGAACAGCGTCGACAGTCGCGTCGCCGGACGGCATTATGTCGTGTCTTCGACTGTCGGGTAAGTCGCAGTGACAAGAGCGAGGCCGGAAGGCGAGGAGTGTAGGACAGGCGGAGGATCACGAGAGGAGAGGGCCTGACCGGCGGACGACAGGACAAGAGATGGGAGCGCACAAACATATACGTGGCTGAAGTACCACATCGCACGACGGCGCGGCGGTATGTTTGCTGACGTGCTGCTCGTACAGTGGGTCCCCCAGATGCAATGGACGGGCGCGGTCTGGACGTCACCATGGACAGAAAACGTGTGCACGACTGGCAAGCAGGTAAGCAACCCCTCGACAGGACCAAACGACCGGCGACGTACCTTCACCAGCCTGGTACGCGACCCTGTAGACGGCCCATGTCGGACCAGGGCTGCAGAGGGCGGGTCGTACTCGAATCCTTTCACCCAACTTGCCTCGCTCGCCGGAATGTTTTCTGTCGTGCCGATTGGTGTTGCTCGCCGGACGACGATATGTCGTGTCTTCGTCGGTCCAGACACATGCCGAGTAAATGGATGCTGTAGACATGACTGAGAAAGAGGTAAGCAGCTATTCGATAGGACGAAACGGATGGGCGTACCTCATGTCGACGGCGACTCGTTCAAATATGCTCGGGCCGTCGGACCCCTTGGGCAAGAGGCTACGAGGCCAATACGAAGCACACGCCTGCGGCGTCTGTGTGCTACTCGCATCTGGCCCTCTGCGACGCTATAGGACAGCGGGGGTCAAGATCTTGTGAAGTATGGCGGGGATGACTGGACTTACTGCCATCGACTTGCCTTGACCGCACGGCGATCCATCGCCAGGCCATCCGTCTGGTCAAGGATCGATCGCACGACGGACGTACAGTGCCGTACCGTGAAGCCATGGGATATCGAGTCCTTGTCTGCAGACCGGGTCACGGGCCACCACCACTGGCACGGATCTCTGCTCGAACGCTTCGTGTTCGTTAGGTGTGAGTAGCGCGGACCACTGGCGGAAATTCGGGCGTTGACCGGGGATATGAGCAAGCCAGTGTTGGACACGAGCCGAGGCGAGGATAACCGCCGGCGGACGTGCAGTGCAACTCGGACTCGAGTAGGTTGGCTGTCACCCCAGTGGAGGTGAGATGTCCGCCGTGTCTGAAGCACAGTGGACGGCTGATGGTCAGAGGTCAGCGATGGTCGACACGGCCTGTATGGAGAAGCATACCTTCGAGATCAGCATGGGATCCGTGACTGGGTGTGCTCGGCGCCGAGGGTTCTCTGGGACAGCGTGGACGGAAGAGACCACGGACGAGTCTGGACGAGCCAAAAAGCGATCGTTCGTGAAGATCGCTCGCCCGGCCGGGCGAGTGCACCAGAGTGCTCATGGTGTGTCCCGTGTCGCGACATATGGGAGGCGGTTGAGGGCAGCTAGTGAGGACAGGGGGTGAGTGCTGGTGCGGAGACATGATGGAAGTAACATACCGTCGACGTAGACCCAAGGCTGTCCTCAATGTATTTCTTCCACGCGGACGCGGGTGGATTCCGAATGATGCGGGATGATGTGGGCATGCTGAGAAGGCGTCGCGAGGCTGCCTTGTGTGTGTAGGTAAGTCATTGTGGCTCACGCGCGAGGTCAGCCGGGGTGCCTCACCTGGTTGTACCTTGCACCCGACGAGCCTACATGACGACAATGGTTCGCTCGGCAGCACCCTGGATGGTCTGGTGAGTACATGAGCATGAGAGTAGAGGCGCGACACATACCATTCAGGTCCCCAACGAACTTCATGACCCGGTCTCCGAGTAACTGGCCTTATGAGAGCCCTCGCCGTGGTCCATCGCGGCGAGTCTATCTAATGCGAATAAGTGATTAGTGTGGTCTGCAAGCATCCATTTCGGGATGCACTTACTGTAGATGTTCGGTGTTGTCGTCGAGAGTAGTACCATTGAATCTATAGTAAGCTGTGAGTAATGATGATCATTGAACAGAGGTACAATCAGACGTACCTCAGGATTCTGTACTGGCATAGACTGGGGCAATTAGGAAGGATGCCCGGGTGCCCTCTAGTATTTATGCTGGAGCTGTGACCTCAATTCCGCGGCTTTCAGCCACAGGTCTCGTCTCGGCCTCGGGCTATGCCCGGGCATTCCTATTGTCCTCCTAAAATGGCCACCGCCGGTGTCATAAGGCCATTCTGATCGCACACAACTGACTCCGGCTCATCAGTGTTTCAAGGCTGCCTCTCCGAGTTCTCAAGCATCCTAAGGCTGAAAAACTCAGGATCTTATGGCTGAGTATGGCTAACCTCAGTACTGCATCATGCAGCTCCTCAGCACACAGTTCCTCAAGTAGAGATTCCAAAAAAATCGGACTGTGAGACAATGCATACTCACCATCTCATCAATCTCACAGGGTTGACTGAAATTCAAAATATGCGAACTCCAATTTCCGGCCACAACCGGAGTGATCTCCGCTCGGGCGCCGGCACCCTGACAAGCGGGGCTTTGTCTGCCCAAGGCTGTCAGCTAATTCCGGGGCCCCCGAAACTAGCTCATACCCTTGGGGAGACAAGGCCCTACACTGCACTGTAAGTAGGAATCCATTCTGCTGTATAGACCACCATTCTTGTAATGTACTGTACAATTCCGAGCCATCTATACATTGCCTAGACAGGTTTCGCGACCATTCCGTTTTCCGTATTGAACAATGTCAAACCACTACTAGTCAGTAAGAAAATGGCACATTGAGCTCGGACTGGCAGATCAGACTCGATGCGACGAGAGTACGAAGCACGAATATTGATCATGTCAGCGTGCACGGTAGAAATTTGAATCACGGATCGCTCGGCGAGTCGGTACATCGCTCGAACAGTCAGTTGAGCAATACCTAATCGGGCAATGCAGCGCGCTTCAGCTCCGTCGCGCGTTCCGGACATGCAGACATTGGGAGCGCACCTGGGATCGCATAGGTAGTGTAGAGGCATTGTTTTCGACATGACAGGACGGTCGACGAAGCTGCGAGACGGTGCAAGCAGCGTCCGGGTGCAGGGAATGGCGCAGATGGGCGTGAGATCGCCAGATCGATCTCTGAACACGAGGATACTCGACTACAGCGCTGGGCGTCTATTCCATCCTCGTCCTCGATCCTGTTTCTCCGTCCTCCATGCCTGGTGCACCCTGGTGCTCTCGACGCTCCCCACTCGTTGACACGTGATGCAGTGACTGAAAATACTCATGTATGCGAATGACAGGATTGCCTCCCTGCAGGCAATCCAAAGGCACTCCGGGTTCGTTGTGCGGATGTTCATGCAAACGCAAAAGGTATCTTCGCAGTGACGGCGATGTCTGCATGAAACGCCGGAACAGCGCCTATGATAGCGCTTGTACGTATACCATCAGTCAGCGCATCTTCGTTGCCATAGAGCGACCGGAGAATGTTCGACCGGCAGCTCGCCATCGCAATTGCACCAAGTCAGCGGGAAATGCGAAGCGACGGTAAGGCGGATGAGTTGCGGGCATCCGAGCCCGCGCGGATATATCACGGCTACGTGATGTGATGTCCGCGGACATCGCGCCAGCGCACGGACCATCGCACGTAAGCTGTCGGCTGGCGAGAATCCGTATAAGAGCAGGGCCTGTTGGTGCCGGAACAGCGTCCCGCCGTCTCTCCTCTCCAGCATCCAGCTTGAGCTTGACGACAAGCCAAGCCGCACTGTATTTGTAGCGGGTGCACACGTCGTATGTCCGGTAAACCGATGCAATACATACCTTCACGTCCGGGTCACTGATTCACTTACAGTGTTACTTCGGGTCCACCGTCAATACATCCCAGTAAGCATTACAGCGACATCGCGTCCGCTTTGAATGCTGGCTATAACATCCGCTCATGGTTGATATTTCTCACAGGCTCTCGGTTTTGCGTCGAGGTGACGCGCTCAACGCAACAGTCCGCTGGTAAGCTTTAGTACGCGTCTCGGAACATTGGCTATAATGTGACTTGTACATCTCTGCTATTCCAGGTGTAGTATTCACGTTGCTACGGAACACTCGCTCAACCCGTTACTTGGCCACTGCGGTCTGCATTGCAAGGCGAGACTACCGAGCCGTCTTCACATGCGAGTACTAACCATTCTCGTCCCGTAGCCCGGTCATTACCGTAAAACGCGGTATGTTCATTTTCCTCGGGTCCGCGTTCATCGCTAACAAAGTGCAGTAATCAAGATATATTCACGGTTCACTCGACGTAGTGTACAGTAGTTTACAACGCCCCAGTCTGGACTGTCCGACGTGACGACGTCCTAGTCGACTGTATGGGCAGGGACCAAGGGCTCGCGGGCACCATCCCGAGAGATCTCGAGACGCCGCGGGTCCCGACGTAGCCCGCCGTACGTGTACCCTGCACAGCCCGTTGTGCTGTGTCCTCCGTCGCCCGGACGGCGGGGACAAGCTCGGGGTGTCGTCTGTCATGCCGTCCACCCACCGCAAAACGCGGTGATGGAGACCGCACCAGGGTCCAGCTCGTCCCGTCGCGTCTCCAGTCCCACCCGTCACCTCGCTACGTCCGTCCTTCAGAGCGACTGGCAAGACGCAGCCTTGGTCAAATCCAGTGGGCCGCGTCAGACTATGAGTAACGAGAGAGAACGCACCGCAAATGAAACGGACAGAGCCGTCCGTCGTGTACGCAGGGAACCGGGTCCGGGAGACCTTTGCGCAAGAGCCCCGTGAGCATTGCAACGACTGCGCTGGTCGCCGGGCTGTTGCGGCTCCAGCGAGTCGCATCGTGAAGTGGGCGAGCCAGTCCGGTCTCACAGGAGACCTCCGCACACGCTCATAAGCGTACGTGACCGCTTGAGGGCCAGTCATAGAAGATAGACGGCGAGCCTGTCTTTGCGTCGTCTGACGCTGCCTCCGTATGCTGCCGCGCGCCTCCTCGCCTCCATCGAGCGATCCCGCCCTCGACGTCGCCGTGTCTTCCCCGAAAGGACTTGCGGTGTCCTGGTATTGGTTGATCGGCCAGCGCGCCCTGGTCTTGACACACCGCACTCGGCGCTGCCATACGGCGCGTGCGCGCCGAGCGTGAGCCTGACAACACGCAACGTCAACTTTCCCTCGCTCGTCGTTACCTGTCGCCGCCCCTGACGCGCCCCTCCCCGTCGTGCTCTTCGTCCTTCTCCGCCTCCAGCTACGTCGTCCGCTTAGCCGTCTGCGGCACCTGCCGCTCGCCCCGCTCGTACCAGTGCGCCACGTCACTGTCCGCTAGCCGGTCGCGTCCGTCGTACCGTGTCCCCTCGACCCGCCGCCTCGCCGTCGTCGTGCGAGTGCACCGTCACGTCACGTCGCTGATCTACGGCGGCGCGAGAGTCGGCCCTGCATTCGCTCTCCACATCCGCCTGCCGACTTCCCTTCGTCGTCGTCGTTCGTCCACGCCGGTCCCTCCCAGCAAACCGCCCACCTCCCGCACCGGATCGCAGGTGAGGCGAGCCTGCTATCCGCTTCTTCCTCATCTCTGCCCCATCCGTCCCATCCGTCCCGCACTCGTCCCACCCCGGTCGCGTGGAGGAGACA